CTTAATACATTAGTAGCCTTATTTAGCCCATACAACAATTGCAATTGCAATTGCAATTGCAATCTCTAGTTACAGATGGATCTTTTTACTTAATTATTTATATTCATCATGGGTATAGTTTAAATCTGTTACTAGTGTTGTAGGTTATGCTTCTGATTTTGTCTTTAAGCTATAGGCCCTACAATGGAGTTTCTTCTATACTTTCTTACTATTTAATATAATTTCTCCATTTCCTATCAAAATTAATTAATTAATTAATTAAAGGGTATAATAATTAATTAAAATAAAAATATATATAAGATTAATAATTCAGGGTATGATAATAATACCACCCTCCCTTACGTTCTCTATTCATAGCTCACATTTTACATTTGTGGTTGACCATTAGACAGAAATATGAAAGTCAGGATGTCCTAGCGCTCAAAACGTCCATCACAGCTATCTATGAGTGGACCTTACCCCTGGACTCACTCAACTAATGATTGTGATGGATATCCTAAATGCCAAGGCATCTTGATTTTTTGAGCTCTCGAACATTAGATTTGTTTCTTTTCTTTTTTTTTCCCCTTTCTCTTTACATTGGGATAAACCTATGCCTAAAAGGAAATCAATTTATCGACAACGCGTTCTATTAGGAATCCTTGAGGTTTGTGGGCAGGGATTAAGAGAGATTAAGAGAATGGAAGGCCAATCCCTTATAGTATAATTCAATTATTTAATGTATTAAAAAATTTAAGAACTTGTTCTATAGAATGAACAGTTCTGGGGAAAAAAAGTGATTTAGAGCAATTTTGATGGCAAGTATGGAAACTAATGTTATGTCTCGTTCAACTTTAATTGATTTAATTTTTAATTTAAAAAATTATTATGCAATTTAGATTACATAATTAAAACAATAGGATGGAGGGTGACCCGCTAGTAATAAGAACCTCCTCTATTCAACTATTTCTATTTTGAAATATGAATTGCAAAGCATGATTCTCTTTCTAATTTGGGAAGCTGAAGATTAATTGTCTACTTTTTTTAAAGATGTTATTTAATATGTTTATTTTTATTTTTTTTTTCTTATTTTAAGAAAATAAGTACAATCTATATTACAATAAAAATGCTTAATTATTTATTTCTACCAAAAAATGTGTAATTGAGTATTAGTGATTAATCAGAGATAAATAAAAAATTCTATCAATTACAATAATTATTATATCCTATTTTGTTAGAGAATAAAAATTAAACCAACTAAAACTAAACGGTGGAGTAACCGTTAACAAGATTAACGACAAATGTCTTCGTCTATCACACTTTCAAATGAGTTAAGTGGCAATCGATTTTAAGGACAACAATTTCAGTTTAGTTAGAAAAATAAAAAATTGATTTTAAGTTAACTGGTAATCGATTTTAAGGACAACGTGCTTCTAAACAATTCTAACATATAGTCCATTTGTTACTGCACGAGAACTTAAAGATATGATTGTTGTCCGATAGTTTGAAAGTGTTGCAGACACTTTGAACATATTTTATACTTAAAGGACCTAACTATCAAATTATATATGGTATTTGTTTTTGAACTTTAACAATATGTTTGGATTAGAAGAAATATAGGAAAGAGAAATGGAAGGATTGCATTCCTCATTTTTCTCTCTTTCTAATTTGGATAAGTAAATAAATTTTTTAAAAAATAAAACAAATAACTTCTTTTTTCTTTCCTCTGCTTACCTTTATTCCTTTTAATCTAAACATATTATAAAGTATGAATTTTAAGTTTAATGTAAGTACACATTCATGAATTACTCTTTTCTTTTTCTTTTTCTCTTTCGTTTTATTTTGATACTATTTTTTCTAACAATTATGAATGGTGAGAAAGCAGGACAAATCATGATGTAATTTGATTATTTTATAAAGCGATTTGGGACCATCCAAGATAGGGGCGATAGAATTTGATAAGGAACAGAGAACATGGGACAAAAGATTTGGGCCGGGTTGTTTTATTTTCGAACTTATTATCCCGTGCACTCTACAGTATTTATTTTTTTAAAATTGTGATATACAATGAGAAACAATATGCATTTAGTAATAAAGGTACCATGTTTAAATTAATTTCGCATGACACAACACGCGTTGGTGAGTGGGGATATATATTATGTCTTACCTGTTTTAGGAACGTAGTTTTGTGAATACAACTCAACCCTAGCCGTACGGTTATTTGACTAGGTAGAGTTTTGCTTATCGTGACTTAATTTTCCGTGTCTTAATTTTTCGTCTCTTTTTTTGGTTTCCCGTCCGGTATCCGGAGCTTTACCTCGATTAATCTAGATTGACCCGCATCACGCACCTGGAGATGGTGGCTGAGTCTCCAAACGAAAGGCTGCTGCGTTTACAAGATTTCGAATTCAAGATCTTACTTAAACCGGAACAAACCGCTTACCACTTGATCCAATTCTTCGTTGGTCTTAATTCTCCGTCTCTAATTCGACAGACATAATCGTTTGTCTATTCTTCGTGTTCTCACTCTTTACTAAGTCAACAAGGAATATCTCCCCTTTTTTTTCTTTGTAGATGAAACAAGGAATACCTTGCTTGCTTTCTTTCTTTTTTCTTTTTTTTTTCGGTTATATGAAACGAGCAATATCTTGCTTTTTTTTCTTTTTTAAAGGAATCTCTTGCTGAGATGTTGTCTTAATGAAAATGATATACTTTGTTCGGTAAAGTTCACATAGAGATTTTTTAGCTATCCAACAGAATAAAAAGGATTTCATTGATGTTGACAGTTTTGTATCAAAGATTTAGGGATAGATTCGAGTTTAAGCCCGAATGAAATTTTTGCATCAGCTCAGTTGTGCACAAACTAACCCGGCCCATTAACCATAGTCAAAGTAATTACACACAATTATTTAAAAAAAAAGGCTCCTCGTCTCGCTATGTGAGGCATTGATGATTCAATTAGGTTGTTACTTTTAAGTATAAATAAATAAATAAACAATATATATATATATATATATGTATGCATATTTTAGATATTAACAAAATTTCAGAAACTAAAGTTTATTACTTTGATAAAAACCATAAGAGCTACCCTTAAAGTAGGCGTAGCAAGAAAAAACCAAGCAAAGAATGGGAAGTTAATATTAGTAACTACTCCCAAATCACCAGAGCCTAAGACTCTAGGACAAAACTTGAGTAATATCCTCCACCTCCTAAATTCTCTAGTGAGGTGCCCAACAGTCATAGGCAATCATTTGACAAGCCTTTTTTTTTTTTACTTTTACTATCCTTCTTATATTAAAAAATCATATTAAATCTTAATTAATCTACAATCAAAGTGTGTTATAAGAGAGCAACTCCTCCAATGTTTATTACTTCATTTATAAGATTCGAACTCAATATTTTACTTAGTAATAATCAAATTCTTTATACTCAGACTAACAAATTATTAGTTTTGACAAGTTATTACCATAGGAGTAAGGGCGCATTTAGGATTGTGATTGAAAGTTTTTTCTTGTAATCATATCATACTTTTAAATATACGTATATTTGGTAATTTTTTGGATAACTTTTTTTGCTACTTTTTTCAAAAGTTATAAAAAATCACAACAGATTTATAACAGTTTTATATATAAAATTAGTACACCACAATTTATAATATTTTATTTAAACTTAACATCTTATTATTTGAAGATTCTATAAAAAAAAATTAAAAACCCATTTCCTCCTTATGGGTTGCTCCCTTGCGAAACCCAAAAGAACATCAATCATATAAAACCTAAATTATCTTGAAAAAATTTACTATATGTCATTCATAGTACTTTTAAGAAATAAATAAATAAATATTAAGATAACTTTCAGCTATAAATATAATACAACATAGTTCAGCACAATCACTGCTACAACTACAATACCACATAGCAATCCCAAACAAATCCTAAAATATATTATTTTGATTAATAAGAAATTAAACTACAAAAGTAAGGTTAATAATAACTTTTTAGAAATAAATCAAGTATAATACAAAGTTCAAATTCTAGCATGGCACATGAGATAGAAACCAAAAATCATATTAGTCCCTCAAATATTCATCCTCCCAAACCACTAAACCAAATAAGATTTTAGATAACATGATTTTAAATAAAATATCCTTGAAAGTTTCCAATAATCATCTTTGCAAAGATGAATCCTCCTTTATGACAACCTAGTTGTAAACCAAAAATTGAAGAAGAAACGTGGAGAAACTAACCTTATGTTTGGGTTAAGCGGAGGGAAGGAGAATTATATCCTCTCATTTTTCTCCATTCATAAATTAAAAAATAAAAATAAAGTTAAAAAAATTTTCCATAAAAAATTTCCCTCCCCCCTCCTTTAATTTTTTTTAACTAAACAGAAAAAGTTTTTCTCCTTTTTCCTCTTTTTTCCCCTCTATTTTTTTCAACTCAAATATATTATAAAAGTTGACGATTACCTAATGCTCCTGAAATTCTTCCCAAATCCCAAAACCTCATCAAACTCCAAAGATTTTTTTTGTAGATTAGCTATTCTCTTTTAGTTAACACTGATTAAAAGAAGGAATAGTTTTGAGAGAGAGAGAGAGAAATGGTAATCAAAAGAATAGTATAATATATGTAATGGCATACAATTTACCATATTTTTATGATTTTACAGGAAATAATCATTTTATCTAACCAAACATATCAGACTTGGTTATTGCCACATGGGTTTTTTATTAAGGCTACACAAATAATATAATAGCCACAGGTATCAAATATTCCTGACGGTCAAAAGATTGCCCTCTTGTCCAACGGGAATATAAGACATTACTCTCACTAAAGAATAGCATTTCAAATCTCAAAGAAGAGTTTATCCTTTTCAACTTAGAAGCGTTAAAAGGAATATCACTTTCTCCTCATATCAGTCCAATTCCATTGTAAATCATTTGAAATCAAGAAACTAACAGCATTCACAATAAATATATATATATATAAAGAAAAGGAAATGAAATGAAAAGAAACCAAGAGCATTACAAACCCCCGATGTATAAATAACCAAACTTTACTCGACAATCATGTATACAAGCAATCTTTTGTCACGAGTAGAGTACTAATTTTCATCCCCACCTTACATGAAGCTACTCAGAGTCAAAGTCGGAGTCAAATAGTGGAGTAGAGTATTACTTTCCATCCCCACATTACCTGAAGCTGCTCAAGAGTCTGAGTCGGAGTCAGATAGTGGCATCTGGTAAGCATCTTCTGGCTCCAAATCAGTTATTGAAGGGGGCAGATTCCTTCCTGATACATCTCTCGTTCGGTTTCTCGCTCTTGGTCTACTTTTATCCTAGAAAACAGATATTGCAGGACATTGTCAAAAGTGAGATCAAAACAGTTACTTATTTGACAATGCTTTTGATATGCAAAGAGTCTAATAACACGATTGAAACCTAAAAGTGTATAAGAGCAGAAGAAAACTGGAATGAAGAGGTTACGAATAGATTAAAGCTTTGGATTTGTGCACCTACTTTAAAATAGGCAAAACCCAAATTTAAGGACATGAAGTATATTACCAAGATATGAACTTTGATGGTTCTTATTAAATAAGGACGCAGTCTTTGCATTGGTTGGAAATAAGGATAAATTGGCTGAAAGTTGGCAAGTGACATCACATAAAATGCAATTAAAACCTTATTTCAGGTCATGTAATCCTTAAATTGTCAATTGACTAATAATTTGAGTGAAAAGAAGCCAATCTATATGATGTGATGTGCTAATTTTCCATCCACATTATCCTTATTTCCAACTAATGCAAAGATCATGTCCTTATTTCCAACTAATTCAAAGAACATGTCCTTAATTCAGAGAGTAAAGTTCAATCCTCAAATCTAAATTTGGTAAAAGTTCATACTTCGTGACCTTATTTTGGGTTTTGCCTTGAAGATACAGGATGAATATATTATAGTAAGGTTTCCTGGAGAGTGAAGACAGCTTTAAAGAAAAAGAGAGAGATCCACCGTGCAGATTGGCACTGACATCTTGGCAAGCTGAAAATTATATTGGGCAACCACGTACCTCTTTATTTGCTTGACTCGGTTGACTGGACCGCAATGGACGTTTTGGTTGATTCCTCATCAACCAGATGCCACCAAAAGACATTAATGCCCCCAGAAACAATGCTGGCCCAATCCTTGGATCTCCTAAGTAATCGTTAATTTGACTGATGATGCCAAGGGTCTTCTGTTTCATTCCAATTGTTCTGGAGAGAATTCCTTGTTGACCTCTTGACCAGATGGGTTCTGCATCCTCAGGAACAAGCTCTGGACTTTTTACTCTCTGCAATGGAAACAGAGCACACAACTAGAGTAGTAAGCTGAAATTTTTAAAGGAGACATCACCAGCAGAGAAAAACCATTATTTATTTGATAATATAAGTACAGTTATCCTATGCATTTCAAGGTACTCCTAATATGACACAGATGACAGACCACAGAATATGATATATATTCATCATTATTCTCTGTAGAAGTTATCCTTTGAAAAAAAATTTAACAGATCAAAAAAGATTAATTCATATTTAATCTAATGAGAAGAGTTTGTATATGGTGCAGTGTCCAAAAATCTCCTAGTTCAAATTAAACAATGCTGTAAAAAGATCATTAGAAAGAAAATTAAAGGTTCCAAAATATTATTTGAAAACTTTGAAAAAGAGAACAAACAGGCATATGACATACATAGAAGGGGAGATTCCGGGAGTCACCATCCTCAATTATGTTTGATATCCACTTGATGAGCTGCAGAAAAGCACAAATTTAGTTTAAGGATACCAAATTCAAGAAAAGATTCTTTATACTTGCTCGTCTGAGTAAAAATCCACAACATTGTTAAAGCAATAGCATAACCAACTACTGAATTTGGGGGATATATATTATGGTATATATATGAAAATTATGGTGTATATATTACATAATTGAAGGATGGGAAATGTAGGCTCCCAGGCTTGAACAGCTAAGACCTAGAAGGTGATCCCCACTAAGGCAATTTGCTCTGCAAATCACCCCAGAGCATGGGGATCGGGTAAATTATTGTATGTTACAGAAAAGCTATACCTCAGAAGTTTCAGCTGAACCATTGTATGTTACAGAGAGCTGCGATACAGGATCAATGTCCTCTAGTTGGAAGTCCCATATGTTTTTTGGCTTCTTCTCCACCTTCATATTATCTTTAGTGGTATTCCTTTGATAACGCACAATGAATAACTTGGGGACATCAGTTGGAACCCTCCTTGGTCCACATGTTTCATAGCCAGTTTCCGTATTAAGGTAGAAGAAACAGTAGTTCTGGAGAAATCTCAGATATTAGAGGCTTCATATCCACTATGATGCACATAAATAAAGATTTGCACAGAAGATACAAATATTGATTCACTCCTGAGGAATTGCTTAAATACATCTTGTTTTTGAAGAACCAACACATTTTAGGTGACTGAAGAAAGGGAGAATGAGATAAGAATAAGAAAAGGCAAAGGTGCAGGCCTTGCCAACTTATGATTGGTGAAATTGCCACCTACCAACCATAGATGTGCATGTATTATAAGATTATACATCTAAAACAGACCCTTGAAAAAAAGGGAAAAAACCATAAAAGTTATAATTTTGAAACAATAGGATGATTATGTGAATCTAAGAAGCCTTTTGCTTATGCAGTACCAGACAACAAATCAAGAAGAGACAATACAAGGAGAAACAAAGAGAAAAGAAAATGTCCCTTTTGTATGTGAATCTCACAAAGCTAGGCACAAACTAGAAATGAGATGCTAGGCACAAACTTGGATACCTGCCCCCTATTTCTATCCCAAGAAAAATAAGAAATGCTATTAAACTTCAAATAACTGATATTTCGTTAAGGCTCTTAATGGCCCTAGCGGCTGGAATTTGAGAAGTAAGGTTCTTCTCTCTTTCTAGTTGCTAGTGCTCAAGTGTTGGTAGTTGCAGAGATGCTGATCTTCTACTTAGTCTCAGTATTCTCACACCCACAAAATAACTGATATTTTGCACCCACCTAACCAAATTAATTTAATATATTGAAAGCATGTGTGAAAAAGATAGAAAGATGAAACAAGGAATCACCTTTTGAGTTTCTCCATCTAGCCAAACAAATGTCAATCGCTTTTTTCTCAATGCAATTGCTGCTGTCTCTGAATATAGATCTCCATTAGTAGCATGTGAGTCATGAGACTTCGATAATAAATCTTGGACCCTGCGCATGGTCTATGAAATTATTAAATTCACACCCATTTTCTGGAAAAAAGAGAACAAGGGCACTCAGCAACACCCATTTTTGTTACTTTTTTAATAGGTCTCATCTGTGTTACTCAAGAAAGCAACAATATTGTTTCTTGTGAGAGCAATAATATCATGACATTACTTTGAACATGTAAACAGGCATGTAGGTCAGGATACAGAATATCTTATAATCTTATCCATCACCCTCCCCCCTCTCACTAGCCCCTAGATCCAAGCATAATATGATTGATTATTTCTTCATGATTTTCTAAGCTTAAATATTCATTTTTCAGATTAAAATTACTGTCAAAAATTAAGCCTTTGCTTTTCCAATTATATATTTTGGATTATTATGTAAATGTAATTTTTAGGGTTTAGCATGAAATTTCAACACATTGTTAACAAACTTGCAATTTTCAAGTAATTCTAGGATCAAGAGGGAATTATACTATTTAGGTTATTAGCTCCCATTTCAATCAGGATTGATTATTTCTTTTGAGAAGAGTCCTATAAGGTGTCATGTTAGGGTTTTAGAGTAAATCTGGTGATCATCCCAAATGAATAGGTACTAAAGAAATAATCCTAAAGAAAATACTGTTTGACCTTGAAGAATGAAGGGGTTCTAAATTGCTAATCCTAAAATTAACCAATCAAAACTGTTCCAATTTCCTCCAAGGTTACAACAAAAAGGCATATAAAAGAATATATAAAATGATTATCCCAAATGGCTTAAAATGCTTGCAGAAATATAAGATATGATTCAATCTACAAAGTTTATTTCTCTTCTTTTTGGCTAGAAACAAAGTTTAATTCTTATAAGTTTTAACAGTAAAAGTTTGTGAAATGAAACATGAACAGAAAATGAAGCAGATTTTAACCCATGCAACATAACCTAAAGTCTTGTTAGGTTGGAGGAATGGCTATTCCTCAGTCAAACCATTAAGTTATGGTGAATTTGAAAGAAGGCATTAAATGTAAGGAACAGCTACTCCCTACTTACATCAATTTATTTCCAATAACATGAAATAAGATAGTTATAGCTAATAACAACTGCCCAAGTCTTAGCTATCCCTACTAACTCACACTTAATAGAAGAAAATTAGTGAAAGTATGGAATAGCTATTCCTTGTGTGTAATGCTCTCCATACAGTTTACCTTATTTTTATGTTTTGACCAAAAATAGCCATTCCATCCAACCCAACATAACCCAAGTGAAGATGCTTACTTCTCTCATTTTGTCAAGCTCCAAACTTTTTCGTCCTGCTAGGACCGCACAATACCAGATCATGATATCATTTCCAGCACGAGAATAGCCTCGGGCATCACAACCTAGCTCCTTTGAAGACAAACTCCTTAACTGAGGAAGCTCTGGAAACATGTAATTGGATTTCATATCATTCACCATCAAACAAAATAAAAGGCATTCTACACATAGTAACAGGCACTACTAGTATCACATTTTCTGATTCTCACCAACTGAAGAGAAATTGGTATGGCATTTTCAATGTGGTATTAACTCAGAGAATGGGTACCTTTATCTGCCAGTTCCACTCACACCAAATCAATTTAATAAATAGGAAGAAGAATGCTTAGGAATACCTTGTTGTTTATTCTGTTCCAAGACATTCAGAAACCATGAATTGTTGAATAAACCTGCAACATTACACCAATACTGAGCATAACACATGAATTAAAGGTTTCATGTCAAATTTCTATGCAAACAGGAGCTAATATGAAAAAGAACCAAGAAACAGCAACATGCCATGGTATACAACAGGTTTGACACCAGGATCTTTCAGGAATACAATAGCTGGTGCAGATTCCACTCCAAACCTGTTATGAGTTATTAAAGATCAGTCAATGCAGATGCAGTAACACAAGAATTAATGACACTAAATATTAGTGAATGCAATAAGAGAATGGACCACTCCCTTACGTATTCCACCAAATAGAAAATTCCTCTTCTCGCCATAGTACACTTGCAAGCGAGATATAATTCCAATAGTCCTTAGCAGCTTGACGCATTATTGGAGTTGCACGCTCCCCTGTTTTTGAGAAGAAAATCACTTTTACCTATGAGTCAGAAGCATGAATAGATCAATTACAGGACATCACATCAAAGTAAGATTATCAATGTGAGAAGGTTGAACATATTTAGTACAGTCTGATGAAACATGGGGTAAGAATGATAATACTGGTAATTAACATGTTGCATATAAATTGGCACAGGAACACTTTTACTGGTAAAAATAAAAGAAGCTTAGTTCCAAACTGCTTTAACTGAATCAAAGACTAAACTACTAAAAGTGAAAAAGTATCAACCATACAGACCATCTAAGCATCAGAAAAAGAAAAGGAACAAATTAAAAGTACAGTCTAACAATAAAGATCAGAGCACAAAAAATTTTAATCATAAAATGGTGAAAACAGCTCCGACCAGTAGGAATATACTGATAATAAACAACATTATAGAATATTATAAAAAATATTCAAAATAGTGAAATACTAGAAGTAGAAGAAAGGAAAAACTACCTTATGTGAACCACTTCTAGCTAGAAACCTTGGCCCCTGGTGTTTAAACAAAATGTCATATCCTCCAACATTAGAAACATGATAGACACAAAAGCAGAAGAATACATAACAGAGGCAAGATGACTAAACCAAAAGACCTGAAATTATGCATTGATGCATTCTTTGGAAAATGACACATTAACAAAAAAAAAAAAATGTCATTCTCCTGATGCATGAATTGACAAACAGTTTCTCCCCACAAATAAACAATCAATACAACACAAGCAATACAAAAAGTTTTATCCAGACAATAAATTCAGAAAGGTTCTCGAGCCAAAAAAAATAATTATAATACACACCAGAAATGCAACAAATAAATAATATTGATTGTATAATCTTCATCTAAAGCATAGTTATTGTTTTCTAAAATGTGAAAGCGTTAGATTGGCATCCCCAAAAAGTCATTAGTGTCGAAAATAATAATAATAATAATAATAATAATAATAATAATAATAAATCCACCATTATTGAACTGAAACATGAGTGTTTATGCAGTTCATTACCAAATTAGTAAAATAGAGACAGGAAATAGGAGTAATAACCAATATGTTTATGAAACTATTACTATCAGGTAATCCAGTAGGCTGGAAAAGAATTAAGAGAACAAAATACGCATTCAAGTATAAAAACATTGTGCATATCCCAACAGAGAGGAACACCATAACAGTTTAAAAAATGAGGATTCAAATTTTAGATAAATTACTTTTTTCAAGATATCAATAACAATATCTCTATTGCAGTTAAACTCTTATGACAACGAAACTTAAAACCATCAAAAGTACAGTTATAAGTAAGATAGAAGCATAATTATGAAGAAACAAGCACAAGGACTTCAAAGGGATTCTATGGATTACCAAAGACTCTTTTGAGTAGTAAAAGATGCGTGGCAAATTAAGTACTGTCGTTGCAAACCAATCTATAACTGCATCAACAGAAAGCTCTCCTTCAAACCTAACACAAAGGAAACAATTAACAGGGAGGTACATTATAAAAGCCCAGCAAGTAAAGAATCATCCAATTACAATACCCAAAAAGAAAGAAACATGATTTAATTGAGTAGACAAGGTACATATATTGATACTGCATTTAACAACATAAAAAGCATGTGTAACAAGGTTTCTGAACTTTCACCAAGTACAGTTTCTGTTTGTTCTCAACCATTAACTTAAAAACTGGAAGATTACCTAACCAGGCAGTCTGAAGTTTTGCACCCTGATGGAAGAGCAACTAGTGAAGGAAGACCTGTACAAATTGTTATTCCATCAAACGAGGAAAAAGTAGAATACTAACAGATATTTAAGTTAAAAGAAAACAATTAAACAGCATACAGTGTTGTCAGTCACAAAATCAGTAAAAAAATTTTAATTTCTTCATGACAGACAAAGCTCTCAACTGCTTAGATGCTTTATAGTGTCTCCAAATTAATTGATTGTTCATACAAACATTTGCAGCAAGAGGCTAGGAAGCATGTCAAGTTCGATACTTTGATTATCATATAAATGTGTGGACAGCATTGGAGTAGTTTTTCAGTAATCCTTGGAAACAATACAATAGAGTATGGCATTGAAGTTTCACCATATCTACAAGCATTCCATGCTTGGACAATAGAATAATGGTAGACAAAATTTAGCCCAAGAGCACAGGATTTTATTCTTTTATTGCGCTATCTATTGATTTGGAAAAAGCTCTTGTAAAGAAGCTTTTGCCAGCAAAAACAGAAAAACAAAAGAAGCTTAGACATACCAGTGTCAATAATACAACACTTGTCCACAGCAGGAGATGAACATAGTAGTAATATTAAACATTGCAGATAATAAAACACATTGCTGCTTCCATTAGGCCATTTATATCTCAAAGTTTAAAATGCTACTTTCATAACTAGTCCTGATGAATAATTTTGACCAAAAACATCATGGTATCTATTAAGGGTTCATACATACTGCCTAGACACAACAATACTGTAGAAATGTTTCTTTTGTTAGATCTAATCAACTTGAACATAAAATAGATTCTGTAGTCCTAATAAAATAAATCTAGCCAAAAGATTATGAACTTCAGGTTTTATCCCATTTTAAAATCAAGTACAACTGTTTCAACTCTGATGTCATGTAAAGCAGAAGCTACTGAAAAAGATCAAAGTAATCAGCCCATTGTTTTTGATCTTCACTACTTTACCTATTATATCAAGTAATACAAGTCTTACAGCAAGCTTTCACCAGGCTTTCACCCAACAAAGCAGCTTAAGAGGATGTAAGACCTTACCATTCCGGAAAAACAACCGTCCTGTTGGTTTCTTCTCAGCCAGGTAGGCTGCAAGTTGGACCTCACCAAGTTCCACCATGCCATTATTTGCAAGCCCATTCAACAAAGCAGCTAAACATAGGGAGAAGGAATCACTAAATATTAGAATGACCAAGCTTTTGAAAGTAAAATAAAAATAAATATGAAAAATCAAGCCTTGGAGGTAATAAAAGCCATCTACCCAGACCAAAAGACACCTTGCTACAGGGTTATCGTAAGAGAGGTTAATGAAGCTATCCCAGATTTAAAACAAGTAATGCTTTAGATTCATTTTAGAAGGAAAAGGTGTTTCAGGCTATTTCCAAAGAGGGAAGCCCCACCTGGCCAACATAGTCCCCAGGAGAAAAAAAGTAGGTAACTGAACAAGAGAACCTTAGGTAATATTGCTGAAACTTGCATGACAGGGATAAAAATAGTGCAATTTCCATCCTACAGCACCATTTGCTACAATTAATTCTAACTAAGATGACTGATAAGCATACAAATAGTAACTGAAATTTTTGGTTTCAGTATAAAGGATCTTAGGAAACTCGAGATTCCCATTCTCACTGAGGATGAAAAAAATTTTCGAAGGTCAATGCCTGGAGGTTCAAGGTGATATAAAATTAAAGCCGCATACAACTAGGTGGAGCAAGAAAGCCTCTTTTCTAAAAGCCAAGCTCTCTAGTAAATGATATTAGGTGTCCAAGAAATGACAACAACAGAGGCTATTGTGCAAAGGATATTTTAACAGTTTAATATTTAACTTGAAGTACAATATGAAATTACAGTTCCATTACATCTTCAACATTATAAACTACAAATAGGCATGTAAAATTTAAAGAATAACATAACAGGTAAAGTTTGTCAGCACATAACAGCAGAAATGACAAAAGCAAAATTCATTTTCAGATCTCAAACTCTAACCAGGAGATGCATGTACCTATTCTCTTCCAGGAATGAAAAAATTGAGCACACTGCTGGCTTCCAGATGAATATACCTGAAACCAGATTCACAGAGGCGGAAAGAATTGTTACTTTTGAAGAAAGGAATTCTACAAATAATCAATCATACAGAGAACAGTAGGTACTATAAGAAACAAGATTGAGAATCCAAACATATGAAAGGCACTGAAAATTTGCACAGCTGATAAATATTAAGGCAAAAAATATTCAGCAACCAAACCAAAAATAAATTCTACTAGAACAACCACCATCAAATGGTTTACCTGTCTACCATGAACCCTTGGGCATGCATTGAAAATGAATTAAATAGTGATTGGTTATATATCCACAATGATTTAGGATTTCTCATGATAATCAAATTATCATGAACTCCTTTTATTTTTTCATTTTGATTTGCAATAATATGAGGATAGGCATACTTGAGAATGAAATGCCCCAGTCCCTTCCAGGGACTCATTGGCATGTCAATTAACAATACTTTTGCAATAATATGGAAACAGTAAAAGGACTTCTCAAGAAACAAAAGCATATAATATTGCACCTGAAGTAGCCACGGATTGGAATGTTGAAACACTGACTGGAAATCCTTGGATGTGATGACATTAAAAGCTTCAATTCCAGGATCTGCAAGAAGCAACGTCTTTATTTAACCTTCCCTGGGTCAACTAACTATTTGCATGCATGCATGTGTGTGTGTGTTATACATTAAGAGAGAGGGGATAGGTTCGAAGATTTTCTACCAGAAACATCAGCATGTAGTAAAGGGAGTTTTACGTTAGAAAACCTCTCCACAGCATACTGTTCCCTGACCCTGTGCATAATGTGCTGCAGGCAAAGTAAAAGTGATTAAATGAAACAATGCAAAACCTCCATCACTCTCTCCCAGCCTCCCTCTCTAAGATGGAAGAGGATACCAACTACACAAAGTAGTCCACAGTTAAATACTTACAAGTTGCTCATCAAATCCGAATAAATCATAATCCCTTTTCCATAGAGGATTTGTCAATAGTTCATAAGCATATTGGATCTGTAAGGCACAGAAAAACATAATATTAATCAGTAACCGTGTTAAGATTTACTCTCACCTAACAATTCGCAAAAATATGATCTACCAAGTCTGTTGGTTACTATATGTGACTTAATACTAATCCCTCCATCCCAAAAATAAGTCTTTTTTTTACTGAAAATTTGTCCCAAATTATTTGTTGTTTTTCAGTTTTTAAGGTAGAAATATTTTCCCCACTTTAACCCTATTATCATCCCTCAAGGGTAATTATCCACCTTATCCCCAAAATCTTCCCTCTATTCTTATCTCTTTCTTAAGGGTAATATAGGCAAAAACAATAAATTTTTTACAAATTCTTAATCCATGAATAAATTGAAAAAACTACTATTATTTTCAAAGGAAGCAGTATAACAATGGAAAAACTAATATGAAAATGTTCAAGGACCTAGGGGGATTATACTTACTGACAAGAAGGATGCCAAAGTTTCATAACAAATTGCAAATTACACAGGATGAAAAAGTTTGAAGAATTAACTAAGATCCAATATCTTCTATTGCTCATCAAGCAATTGGAAAAACTTTTCTTAAATGCAACAAAAAGCACCAATGAAAGCAAGTATAAGTTTGAGTGGAAGTAGAATGAAAAGAAAGAGGATAACAAAAACTATTTTGAAGACTGCCAATAAGTATATTCAAACTTCAATGATTTAGTGTTGTCCTTAAATATTCTTTTATTATAAAAATGTTTCCCCAAAAGATACTGTCTGATGTAGTTTTGGATCATTGATACTTCCAACACCAAGAGCATCAATTTAACTTTTAAGGAAGTTATAATTTTAACACTGTTCAGAGTTCCTACTTCCTAGAGCTCCTTATAGAGCTTCAAGGAAATTCCATTATCTGATTTGGACATCGATTACAAATAAAGCCTGGGGATATCAGCCACAGCTGTTGCAGATACATATGAAGAATCAACTAACCCTTATGAAATCATTAGTATCAGGGACTTCCACCCCTCTATCCCTGCAAAAGGAAAATTCAGACATAGAATCAGAGTGGTGAATGCTGAAAACCAGTAAAGAAGATAATACAAAATCTATCAATGTAATAGATTCATATATAAGAGTGTGGTAGCCGGATTGCTTCCCATCTGCATAATGTAATTCTCTGGAGTACAATTGAAAATCCAGGTATGATATATGGCCTATTCATACAACATTACCACCCCAGAAAACAAATTTTTGATACCTAAAAACATATGTAATTTGGCTGCGTATTCATTGATACACAAAGAATTCTTGACTCAGAAAGTATTGACATTCAACAATTACAATAGTTCACATACCCTAGATATGTTACAAAGCCCCAAACCCAAAAGGAACAATAGTTGAAGCTCAATGTCCATTATTCCTCAAAAATTGGCTTTCAAAAAAAGTGTGAGATTGTTATATATATGGTTGAGTATTACAAAACCTAAAATTTTAACTGCGTTAACTAGCAGTTGTTTTTTCCATTACAAAGAGAGCCTCATTTTGAATCTCACAAAAAACCAAAAACTCAAATTCCCATTACAACTTCATGTGTAAGATTTGTGTCCCTGACATTTCCCTTCCCTTTACTTGTTTTGATCTAATCATCTAAGAAACAAGTCTAGCATATAACCAAAGACAGTTTTTACCAAAAAAAAAAAATATAACCAAAGACAGTACATGTTGCAGAAATCCCCTTGTTGCATCCTTGAGGGTAAGCTAAATTAACAAACTCAGAGGGGAATAATCTCTCACTAACAATCATTACATGCCTCAATTGATGACACTTGTTTTGGTGATAATTTAATAACCAACAGTGCGTTAGTATTTATATTTTAACTTCTTTTGAACACTCAAATTCATCAATCATTGAATTATTCTTGTAAGCTGTAACATAAATACATTCCCTAAACACAGCGAAATAGAAACATGACAACAGAAAAGAATCAAATTAAAACAAACAAAAAAAAAATTCCGCAATTAACAGTTTTAAAACAAAGAAGGGGAAAATAAAAAGTACCACTTGGATGAAAGATTCTCATATGCTTCTTTCACTTCCTCGATAGAACTATATCTCTTAACACGCAAAACTACAATTCGTCATCAGAAGAAAAAAGAAAAGGAACAAATCAAGACATGGAGACAAATTTAAACCAAATAAATCCACCGTCAGATCGGTTTTACCGATAAATTCACATCGATAAGAGACTAACCGTCGTAATGAGACGGAGGGAAGGAGCGAGGGAGGACGACGAGCTGAAAGAGGATTGCGAGGGAGAGGAGGAGGAGCGGCGCGGCGTAAGCTTTGATTACCGTCGCCACTGACGGGGTTGGCGAAGGAGTCCTGGCCATCGGCGGATTCAGAACAGGGAAACTGAGTGAACCAAGTACAGAGAATCAAAGTGGTGAAGAAAGGAATAAAACAAAAGGCTTTTGCCACGTGGATCTGAAGATTTGATTCCGTAAGAGGAATTCTAGGTTTAACCCCATTTGGTATAGTGGTATTGGGTAACTATCATTGGTTTTATCTAAATGGTTAAATATAATTGTTTGGTAAATTTATATATTTTAAAATTATTATAAATAAAATATTTGGTAAAATTTTTATTTAGCTACTTGAAACTAGCGGATAGTGGTTAAAGTACAAATCGTTAGTGGATTGAAAAAATTAAATTATGTAGTTTTTTTGTATCAAATCATTAGTAGATTAGAATTTTTTAATTTTATTGATCAATTTATCTATTTTAATTTTTTAATTTTTTGTCATATTTTTTAATTAATATTTATCTAACAAATTTCAATTTTATCTTTTACCTTTAATAATATTAAGTGATTATAATATTTTTTTACATTAATTTATAATTAAAAAATATATCATCTTAAAAAACAAAATTTGTTAATTAGATAAAATGATTAATTTTTTATTTAAAAATAATATAATTTTTTTTTTCAAAAATAAAAATAAGGTTATAATTACATTATTATAATTAATTTTATTTATTTATTTTCTTATTATTATTTTTATAAAATTAATAATTTAAATAATAATAAATAAAAATATTTAAAAAATACACTTATTTATTTTTAAACATATCCTTATTAATCATTTCATGTTAAATACTAACCATTAAGTATTGTATAGCCAAATAATTATGTTTATCGAATCTCCTATTTACCATTTGCTATCTATTTTTTGCTATCCGTCATCCACTATCCATTAACCGCCACTCGCTACCCACTATCATTATCCACTATTCACTACCTACTATCCACTATCTACCATCCGTTAAATTTTAACCGTTATACCAAACAGTCTTTAATGAGGTTTTTTCTTTTCTTTTCTTTTCCTAATTCGGTGATTACTATGACGGCTTGGATAAGGTGTGTGAAGGAGCATGAGATCGATGGTGTTCATTAACATTGCAACGTTTGGCTATTTATCATCAACCCACCTTTTGACTGAATCCACTATGGATCGTTGATCTGATTTTAGAAAGTCACTCCCCGTCTAGTTTAGCTTTTTCAGTTTAATTTTGGTTTAAGTACCATTTTATTAGATTATTTTATATGGTAAATAAATAAAAATTTAAAAATTTTTTATATACAATATTGGTTGAATATTTTTATTTAAATAAAAAAATTTTAAATTATTATTCATTTATTATAGAAAATCATCATGTTAAATTTCATGTAAAAATTAAATTAAATTAATTAAATCTAACTAAAGATAGTAGTAAATTGCACTTGGATTTTCGGGTCCAGTGACATCAGATTACGTATAAGTGTATTTTTCTACTCCCAAGGCAACGGCTCAAATTCGACCCCTTACGAATTTGTTCAAAAAAAAAATATAGCAGTAAATTAACATCATGTGAAGGCTTTACAAAATGCAATAGTTAATATTTTAAAAAATCAATTGTTATTATTTTTCTTTTAGCATTTACTATAAAAATATTTTCTCATCAATCAATAATCTAAATAACTCAGTATTTATCTTTTTTTGCTGAAAATAAAAAATTTTAAATTTGAATCACATGATATACGAATGAGGTAGAATAAGAGATGAGAGATGATTTTTTCTACTTATATAATCAAGATAAAAAAAAATTCCCTAATCAATTTTACACGTGTTAAGTTTAACTTTTTTGTTAAAATCCTATTTTGGTTCCTGAACTATTGTACGGATCTCCAATTTAGTCCCTGAACTAAAAAAATCCTTGATTTGGTTCCTACTGTTTACCATTTTTACCCCGATGTGGTCCTTCGGTTAAAATATCACCGTTATCTCACGAAAATTTAATGACATGTCAAACATTTGAGACACTTCAATTGTATAAATGAATAAATAATAACATGGCAACGTGATATGTCATGTTCTTACTCAACCCAACAAAAGTGGGGTCCACCAAAATTACGAATTTGCCATCATCTTCTTCCTCCAGCAAACAAACCTAGCACCTGGGTTGAATCGAACCCAACAGCACCCTTTTTTTTTCCTTCATCTTCCTTGCCTTGCTTTCTTCATCATCATCAAACACATCATCATCAAACACCAAACCCATAGAAAAAATATATATATTTTTTACCTCCTGAGTTCCGTTGAACCCACGCCTGGGTTCGACGGAACCTAGGGTTGGGTTCCATGGAACTCAGCTGGTTCGAAGAACCCAAGCATGGGTTCAAGGGAACCCAATGCCTGGGTTCCGTCAAACCCGGGGTTGGGTTCCATGGAACCCAGCTGGTTCGTCGCTGGGTTCCAAAGAACCCAATGGCGAACCAGTTGGGTTCGAAGAACCCAATGGCCAACCAACTGGGTTCGAAGAACCCAGGCGTGGGTTTGAGGGAACCTAGCGCCTGGGTTCCTTGGAACCCAACCCAGGCAAGCGTGCTGGGTTCGGTTCCTTGCGAACCCAGCACCTGGGTGGGTTCGAAGGAACCCAGCGCCTGCTGGGTTTCGAGGGGAAAGAGAAGGGAAAGGGGAAAGAGAAAGAAAAGGGGAAAGGAGAAGGAGAAAGAAAAAAGAAAAAAGAAAAAAGAAAAAAAATTTTAAGTTTTATTTTTCATAATATTTTTTTATATTATTATTTTTTCCACATCATCACTTTTTTGCTATATTATTTTCCACGTGGATTACTATATAACATGTCATTTGGTAACCATGAAGTAATAGGCCACGTCACACAATTTTTAATGAAATGACCAAATCGGGGTAAAATTAGTAAACAATAAGGACCAAATCAGGGATTTTTTTAGTTCAGGGACCAAATTAGAGGTCCATACAATAGTTCAGAGACCAAAAATGGGTTTTAACCTAACCTTTTTTCTTCCAAACTCTTGAGGGTGTATCCCTGTATCGACTTAATACACTCATGTACTGTAAATAAAACTAAAACTTTACATTTGTCTTAGAAGATAATAATTGATGCACCCCAAATCTGACTGGAGGTATTATTAAATTGATATTATGTAAAGGCTTTACAAAATGCGGCAATTAATATTTTAAAAAATGAATTGTTATGACTTTTTCTTTTTTCGGTATTACTATTAGAATGTCTAACGATCAGCTTTTTACGTGTGTCGAGTTTAATTTTTTTTCCAAAATCATATTTATTTTTTTGAACTCTGCCGCACTCATATATTAAAATCAACGTCATATGAAATTTATATAAGAAAATTTTATCTAAAAGATAAAAATAAATGTTAAAACATAAAACACAACTGGAAATTATAGTTAAAAATAAATCAAGTTTAACAAAGACAAATAAAGAAAGATAGTGAAAATTCACACGAAACAATTTCTAAGGAACATAATTTATAAATTTCTTTGGTCAAACAAACTAGATGTCCTTCAATCTACTCTTGAAGACCGTGGCGAAGCCGAGGGTGCTGGGGCGCTCGCCCTTTGAAATTTGAAAATCTTGCAAATTAGTATATGAAAAATTATCTAGTCTCTCCTGAACTTTGAAAATTTTAGTATTTTGCCCCCCCGAAAAAAATTTCTGCCTCCGCCCCTGCTTGAAGATAAGCTCACTCTCTAAGATGCCGTGATAAAGAGATCAAAGCAACCAGCAACCAACGCCTAATACTTATTTTACTGTTTTATTGGCCACCAAATCTGAGCAAACAAACAAGAAAACCAGAAAAATAGTAAAGAAAAAGAAAAAAAACCACCAAAAGGGGTCACAAAAGGAACCGATAAATCACTCAAGGTGGTCAACAGACAGAGGAGTATGAAAGTCCAACTCCACCTTGCTTGAGAAGCCGGCGGGCTTCCAAGCATCAAAAACTTGTGAAGCCTGATGGCTTCCGAGCTTTTTCCAAAACCATTTTCAATATTAATTCTTTGTATTCAAAAAAATTAATTTTTTTATGTATTGTTAATAAAATTTTAACCTTGAATGTATTTTATAAGATGATAGTTGCTTACCAATAAATTCAAATCTTATAGTGTATTTGGATTGGGAGATTTTAAGGGAAAGGAGAGTAAGGGGAAGATGTTCTCCCTCCCCTTATTTGGATTTCTTCATTACTAGAAGGGAAAGGAGATGGAGAGGTAATGGAGTCACCTCCCGTCCTCTATTTTTCATCCCCAAATCAGAAGGATTGCAAAGGATTTACTTTACATGTTTAATTTATAAA